TTCTATAATTTTTCAAAATGAAAGATGCGGGGGCAGGGGGGTAGCACTTGTAGAGAAACTCCTGAGAAAAACCTTTTAAAAAGTTATTTGATGCACCCAAACAGCATTTTTGCACAGCCCAAACTCAAAGACTTAACTTTATGAGGGTAAACAATTTACATCTAAAATTAATTCCATAGTCCTTATGGGCTGGCAACCTTTATCAGTTAAGGGCCAGATAGTAAACATTTTAGGCTCTATGATCCACATACAAACTCTTGTTTTATTTACAACCCTTTCAAAATGTAAAAGCCATTCTTAGCAAGAGAGAAGGCTAGCACAAAACAAGGTCAAGGGTTGTCATTTGCCACCCCCGATATAGGTGGACTTCCATAGCGTTATATCTAAATAATAAAGTCATAGTCAGAAAAACAAGTCAGAAACTTTCCTTTCTGGAATTATTTCCAAACAGTCGGACCTGGGCGCAGGGAGGTAGATGACAGTCATCAGCGGCTCTGTACTAGGAGCAGCTTTCTGAGGGAATGGTTCTTTGCAGCCTTCCTCTTAAACCCTGAAGTCCTCAAGGACACAATACAGTATTCAAGTAACATTTCTAACAGCATGACACTTGTCACATATTTGCAGCTTTGTCACACTTTGACCCCCGACCTTTTAGTTAATGCTCAATGGAGGGCTCACATCATTTGAGCATTTAACCTCCAAAACCTTCAACTACGCCCATCTGGCAAAAGCAACAGAGGCAGAGAGAGATGATTATAGCAAAAACACATCTAGTATAATTCTATTTGGCACACGCACTCTAGTTCATACTTGCTATTCCTGTAAGTTATACATTTATGCATAAGTATTACTGTACACACAGGGGTGCATATGCGAAGCCACATGTACTGCACTTTACAGTCAAAGTAAAAGCTCCCAGGGTGATTTGGAGGCCACTCAATTTCCATCTTATATGCAGCCTGTGGGTGCCAGTCTTTTCTCTCTCCTGTCGCCGTAGTTTTTAGTACACGTCCACTACTTTCACTTGTCTCCATCTAGTTTTGACGGCCCCGCCTACAGGGAACCTCCATGCTCCGCTGCCCACAGCGTCTGATCCTCTTATGCCTTCACGCTTACTGGGCTTGCCTTCTGATCGTTAGAGGGGCCACCAAACCCTCGATGCTTACATTTCTCCCAGCCCCCCAACCCAGTGGTTATCCTCTGTACTGCCCTTCTCCCTCCCACTCTAGGTTTTCTGGCATCAATTCCATTTCACCACTACCCGACAACCTCTTGCTTTTCTCACCTATTGAAATCTCAACTCTGGGCACAAGCCAGTGGGTGACAGCAATAGCTAAGAAATCAGACTTCTGAATTTAAATCTTTCTTACCTGTATAACCTGAGCCAAGTTATGTAATTCTCTGTGCCTTGGTTACTTCCTCTGTAAAATATAGTCCTTATAGGCCACAGGTAAGTTTGGAATCAGGCTGATAAGAAGAAAATCAGACCACAGCCCCAGAAGATGCCTTTTAGTTTGGCGAGAACTACGAATTTTTTTCAGACTCATGAACAGCTCAGGAAATTTTTAGGGAACAAAGAGCAGGGTGTCCCGCCACAGTTGCAAACAACATTTAGAGCCAATTCAACTCAGACAAAACGATGAGGGTTTTTTGAACAAAAGGAAGAGTTCACCGATGCTGTTCACGTCATTTTCAGCTGGGGTCATCACGCTGTTACAGGATGCTAACTGGCTTCTACTTTGAATAAAACAGTTGAAAAGCCCCAATAATTGTTAAAAATACAACTGTATGTTATGAAAGCCCACCTTCAGAAGAGCTGAACAGCTAGTTTTCAAAATTTGATATGATTGAGATCTTATATTTTTACATGTTGCTATATGAGTAGTGGTTACAAGTCAGAACTCCTTAATCACCAGCACCCAAGAAACTCTCTGGTTCTAGAGCGGCACAGCCTTAGGCATCCTCATCTGCTCTCCAAAGACAGGTATTTAAAACCTGTACAGGCCCATTGTCTGATAACTCCCACTTTCTTGAGCATTTTCAAACTGAGTTTCCTGCCTTTCGGCCCCTGCCACCAACCAACCCCATGCCTGGAACACTGCAAGTCCCACTCCTGGCCAGAATGGTTTCTGGATAAAAGTTCCAGAACATATACCTGCTAATCTCAGTCTGCAGCAGCTCAATATGCTCAGATCAAACCTAGCCATGCCTTCACCCCTGGCTATAAAGGAGAGGGAAATCTTCCATTGTTCCCAACCTTCAGTGCATGTAGCTCCTGGGTCATGTTTTTGTTTCTCATTGCTCTGTGGATCTAGCCCTTAGAAATTTGTTTGCATCTGGTTTCTCTGGCTGCTTACGCAGCTTTCTCACCAAAGCTCTGGTTGGTACTCAGGCTACTGGCTTTCCTCGCCTCAGGCTACCAATGCAGTTCATTCCATCTTAGGAAACTCTTTGCCAGGCTGCCAGCTGCAGTCTCACCAGGAAGACAGGACTTGACCCTTGTCCTCAGACTCCTTCAAATACACAGATACGTCTAATCCTCCATGGTTAGAGGGCTTAGACAATAACACTTATCTTGGGTTTTGTCCTACCTACCCAGACAGTAACATTTGTCCACATCCTACGTTGGCCAGTTTCCTCCATTTCACCCTCAGACTGTCAGCAGCTCATGCCTTTGTTTAGTTAAAGAGGCCCCTGCTATAATCTGTGCCTCTGTGTTGTCTAACCATACTATTTCCTAACGCTAGCGTGGACCTAAGCACCACTTCTCTGCCCCTAAACCTAACATTCATTAATGTGTTTGTAAAAGGCCCATGGATAGTGCCACTGCACAAGTGAAAGTATTCATTCTCTAACTCAACACCTTCATCTAGCTGAGAAACGAGTTCTAGGCGTGCAAATGTCTCTAGACCCAGAGACCTGCCTTCAGACAAGCCTGCTCAACCCCAACAAAAGCAGGCATACTGCTCCTGACAGATTTATTCATGGGATATAGAGGAAAGGTAGATGCCTACCAGAATATTTGGAGAAATTGTTAGGTAAACAAAAATTGGTACCAAAGATCCACTTTAATAGAGTCCAGAGAACACTGTGGACATAAAGTAGATCGATTCTGGCTAGTCTGGTAACATCAGGAGAGGGCTACACCCAGAATCACTGGAAAAGAAGGTGCTAGAATACGAGGGAAGTGTTAGGAGCCTGTCTGGCCTTGTCTCTGGTGAGATGCTAAACTAATTATGGCTCACCTATGAGATAAGCTCTGATTTCGATTTAATAAAGGAAAAGAGGTGGTGAGGGAAGTTAAGTATAACAGGGGAGAGAGTGTAGGAAGGAAGACATGGAAACAGCATTCAGGGCATGAAAATTTCTGTTTGAAAAAAGAAAGGCAGTGGAAAAAAAGGAAAAAAAGATGAAGATGCTGACATGAAATGTGTTGAAAGGTGCTGCATAATAATCTACATTTGTATAGCAAACGTTATAATTTTTAAGGCACCTTATCCACACGATCCGGTTGAAAGTCAAAAAAGTTTATGGAATAGGCAAGAGTTATAACCATTTTAGAGGGGGGGGGGGAAGAGACTAGAGGAGGTTAACATACTTAAGGGGTGAAGTAAGGACCAGGGTATCTAGTTCTCAGGCTCCAAAACCTCAGCTCTAGTAACAGAATGAAATACTCGGCCTCTCTGATTCCATCCAGTTCAAGTCAGCCTTGTTTCCATGGCCTTCAGGCTAACAGCTCCTGCTTTAGACATGTCATCATTAAAGCAATTCCGCTTGGGGCCTGAGTTTTTACAAGAACAGCCCCTCCCATTTCACCTTCCCTTGACATAAATGAAGCTTGAACTCTACTTTCCTAATATGGATTTGAGGAATAGGTCTCCTATCTTTTCAGTTGGTGACTTCTCAATCAACACACCTTTCCTTACTTCAAACTCTGACATTTTGAGTTTTGGCAGCTGGTAACACTCTTTCAACAACATCGGTGGGTCCCAAACAATATTCTGTAAGTTGCCAAAATTAGAGTACATGCGATTTGTCTCCATTTACATAAAGTTCAAGATATCATAAGATAGATGTTATGCTGATAGAAATCAGAATGGTTCTTTTCTGTAAGTGATTGAGATTGACTAGGAAAGGACATGAGGGAACTTTCTGTTGTCTATCTTGATCAGGCTGTTGGTTACATGTGTGTACAAGATTTTCAAAATCCATCAGGTTGCATATTTAGGAGCTCTGCATTTTACGTATATACATTTTACCTCAATGAAACAAAAATCAGTGCTGAAATGACAGAATCTATTAAACAAATTAACAATTTGAAATTTTGATTTGAAGTTTATGTCTGTCATCTATAAATATTAAGATTCTAGCTTATTTGTGTTCAGAGCTATTCCACAGAAAGCCCTGGTAACCATCATCACAGCAGCACTCTGAAAAGCCCCAGGTTCAAAACATAAAAATTAAACACTGCAATTATTGTTCACATGTGAATTTTACCGACAGCACAAATTAAATATATTCAAACTACTTCAGGAAAGCAGGCCCATTGAGGAATATTACCTGGCATGCTTTAAGATGCTGTGAGCAAATGGAAGCACTGTTTGCATTTGGCACAGGCTGCTTTTATGGGGGAGAGAGGGAGTTGGGGGGGAAGGGCAGAGGGGAGGGGAGTGCTACTTTTGCCACAATTCAGTCCACATCCTTCCAATTACCTGGGCCCAAGTTCTTACATTGTAAAAGTTGGTTGGAGCTCAGTAGCAGCTATCAGATACTCCTTTATTTGGTTTGAAATTGACAGTGTCCACCACTCCCAACTGATCACCAACCGACTCACTCACCTACTTATGTTTACTGCTTAGCTCAGTGATTTTTTTTTTGTTTTGAATTTCAGATCCTAATAGTGAATAAATTCAAAACAAAACACTGGAAGTTTTACAGATAAACCAAATAGCATTAATAATTTTTTGAATAACAAGCAACTGAATACAGGATATACTTACTCGCAGAGAAGGATTCCATTTTCTAACCCTGTCCGAAAATCTTTATCACCAAAGCTTCTGCCCGTTACTTGCTAGAAAAGAAAAAAAGAAAAGGAGAGCATAAATGTTTTTTTCTTTTTAATCAGAAAATACAGTTAAATTTTTTTTTTCAATTCAAGAGCCTTGAATAACTGGTGGCATTCCAAGAATGGAAAAAATCTGTTATGCCTGAATTTTCTTTCCATGTGTAGTTTTGCTTAGATCAGCTAAACTTAAATTTAGACCATTTTGCTGAAGGTTTTCCTATTTAATACCTTTAAAAATATATTCTTCCTGATGAGGATGTTACTTTTGTGTTTAGCCATGAAAAGTTAAGGCCACAGTCTCTTTCATCCTGGGGATCCTATCCACACACTTTCAAAAAAAAAAAAACCCCTATAGAAAGCATCACCTAAGAATTAAAGTATCCATTTGTTAAAACCTTAAGAGGGAAGAGACCAGGAGGACATAGACCACTAACCTCAAGAGACTAACATTAAGACAGAAAAATGAAAGCCAATATCCATAACAACATGGTGTGAAAGGGGAAAAGAAAAGCTGGGAAAGAATAAACAGTGATAGCACACGACTGATGGCCACTCTTGATGCACCTGGCTCTCAGCAGCCCTTTGGCCTAGGCACCAGGGCATTCATTTGTTCATTCAATAAATATTTTTTGAGCATCTACAATAGGCCAGGTAAATATACATACTGAAAACCCTAAAGCAACCTCTAAAATAGTAAAATAAAAAATTATATCTAATAAGCAAAGAAAGGAGATAAAATGTAAAAAATATTCTAACAATAAAAAGAGAAAAAGAAAGAAAAGGAAATACAGACTAGATGGAATAAATAAAAAGCAAATAGCTATATTACAGATTTAAATCTAACCAAATCAATAAGTGCACTAAATATAAATGGCCTAAACATACCCAATTAAAATATAGAGAGTGCCAGATTGGAGAAAAAGGCAAAACCCAACTATGTGCAGTCTACAAGAAATGCACTTTAACTACAAAGATAAAATAGGTTAAAATAGAAGAACAGATCATATATACCATGCTTAAACTAATACAAAGAAAACTAGAGTGGTTATAGTACATCAGACAAAAAGAAAAGATTTTTAGAACAAACAATATCACCAGGAACAGAAAAAGTCATTTCATACAGACAAAGGCTTTAGTTTATCAGAAAAACATAACAATCTTAAACATTTTTATACCAAAAAAAAAAAGCTTCAAAATATGTAAGCCAAAACAAGTAGAGCTGCAAGGAGAAATAGACAAACTCACAAATAAAGTCAGAAATTTAATATCTTTCAAAACTGATAGAACAAGCAGACAGAAAACCAATAAGGATAAAGAAACTTGAACAACACTATCAACCAAATTGACTTAATTGACATTTCTAGATACTCCACCCTACAATAGCAGAATACAGATTTTACTTCTTAAGTCCACAGTGAACATTTATTGAGACAGACCAATTCCTGGGTCAGAAAAATCAGTCTCAGAACTTCAAGTCAAGATGGTGAAGTAGGTGGCTGTGCTCACAACCACAACAAAACTATGACTGAACTATAGAACAACCATAATTGAAAATCACCGAAAGTCTCGCTGAACAGAAGTCCTACAACTAAGGACATACAGAAGAAGCCATCTTGAGACTTGTAGGAGGAGCAGACATGCTGAACGGGCTAATCCCACACCCACATATGATGGTTAAAAATTGGGAGGCATATCTTTGCTGCACAGGGTCTCTATGAGGAACAAGGGGTCCCAGACCCCATCAGGATCCCCAGCTCAGTGTTCCAGTGCCATGAAGAGAAGACCCCATAACTTCCAGCTGTGAAAACCAGCCAAGAAGGTGGTTGAGTGAGACAGAAGGTGGCTGAAACCTGAGGCATTCCTCTTAAAGGACCAGTGCACGGACTCACTCACTGATGGACTCACTTGATCTGAGTACCACTTCTGGGGCTGCAACTTGAAAGGCACCAAGGACATACAGGGAGGAACTGAATTGTCTGGCATCAGGGTGGGGACTGGAGGGGCAGCTTTCTCCAAGACAGAAGAGCTGGCAGGAGCCACTATTCCTTTATTGAGCTTTCCCACCGCCCAGCATGCAGAAATGGGTGGGTGCATGTCAGAGTATCTGAGTCTCCACTAACCTGGCTAACACTGTTCACCCCACCCTGGAGATTCCAAGACTCTGCTACACCCAACTTGCATGCCTACCCAAGCTGCTTCCAGTGGCTTTTCCATGTCTTTTTCCTGTCTTGGCTAATGCTGTAAACTTTCCTAAAATCTCTCAAGGGTTTACAAACCCCAAAAGAGCAGCATCTATTCACAGTGGGCACTGTACCTCTTGCTAAGCAACCCCAGGCCCAGCACTGGTGGCAGCCAGCCTCATTTTGCAGCTTAGCTTCTCCCAGGCACCTCCAAACCCAGCTCAAATGGCAACCATCTGAAGATCACTTTGTAGCTCATACCAAGTGGCCCCATAGGCAGCAGTAAACTTTGGCCTGCACCAGAGCCCCTCCCAAGAGGCCCCAGAACCAACACACCCAGTGGCCAGCTTCAGACTATGCCAGAGCACCGCCCAACCACATCAGCAAATGTAACACCCAAAGCAGGCACCAGACCCCTGTTAAAGTGAATCCTGCTCCATAGGGTCTGTCCCCACAAAACAGCTCCTTCACTGTAGTCACAGCCAGTTTCTTACAACCAATCAGCCTGAGGGTCAATCCCTCCCATTGACGTTCCAACAACGACCAAGTTTCAACTACAATAAGAGGGCACACACAACCCACACAAGGGACACACCTGGAGCACCTGGCTCAGGTGACAAGGGAGACTGTGCCACTGGGCACCAAAGGATACCTACTACTTAACGCTGGTCTACCAAGACCAGGAGACATAGCATCTCTAGTTAATACATAAAACCAAACACAGGAAGACAGCTAAATGGAGAGAAAAAGAAATACATCCCAAATGAAAGATCAGAACAAAGCTCCAGAAAAAGAACTAAACAAAATGGAGACAAGCAATCTACAAGATGCAAAGTTCAAAACACTGGTTATAAGGATGCTCAATCATCTCGGAGAGAACTGTAACAAAGAGATAGGAAACATAAAAATGGAGACAGAAAACACAAAAAAGAACCAGTCAAAAATGAAGAATACAATAAGTGAAATGAAGAATACATTAGAGGGAACCAACAGCAGATTAGGTAAAGCAGAAGATCAAATCAGAGATTTAGAATATTTAGAAAACATCCAATCAGAAGAGCAAAAAGAATCCAAAAAAATGAGGAGAGTTTAAGGGGCTTCTGGGACAACATCATGCATACCAATACTTGCATCAGAGGAATACTAAAAGGAGAAGAGAAACAGCAAGGGATTGAAAACCTATCTGAAGAAATAATGACAGAAAACTTCCCTAACCTGGCAAAGAAAATAGACATACAAGCCCAGGTAGCACAGAGAGTCCTAAATAAGATGAATCCAATGAGGCCCACACCAAGACACATAATTAAAATGCCAACAGTTAAAGACAAAGAAAGAATCTTAAAGGCAGCAAGAGATACACAGTTAGTTACCTGCAAAGGAGCTCCCATAACACAGTCTGCTGATTTCTCAACAGAAACTCTGCAGGCCAGAAGAGATTGGCATGACTTATTCAAAGTGATGAAAATCAAGGATCTACAACCAAGACTACCCATCAAGACTATCATATAGAATCAAAGGAAAGATAACAAACTTCCCAGACAAGAAAGCTAAAGGAGTTCATCATCACCAAACCAGTATTACAAGAAATGTTAAAGGAACTTCTTTAAGAAGATGAAAAAAGATCAAAAATATAATAAAATGGCAATAACTACATATTTATCAGCAATTACTTTAAATGTAAATTGATTAAATGCTCCACTCAAAAGACAAAGAGTGGCTGAATGGATAAGAAAACAAGACCCTCACACATGCTGCCTTCAAGAGACTCACATCAGATCAAAAGACACACATAGACTGAAAGTAAAGAGATGGCACAAGGTATTTCATGAAAATGGAAACAAACAAAAAAAGCTGGGATAGCAATACTTATACGAGACAAAATAGATTTTAAAACAAAGGCTATCACAAGAGACAAAGAAAGACCCAGTAATCCCACTTCTGGGTATTTACCAAAAAATAAAATGCAAAGTACTATTTCAAAGGAACATGTGCACCCATATGTTTGTTGCAGCATTATTTACAAAAGCCAAGATATAGAGACGACCTGGGTGTCCATCAATGGAAGAATGGATAAACAAGACGACACACAGACACACACGGACACACACACTCACACACACACACACGCTGGAATATTTCTCAGCCATAAAAAAAATTAAATCTTGCCATCTGCAACACATGGATAGACCTAGAGGATATTATACTGAGTGGACGAAGTCAGACAGAGAAAGCCAAATGCCATATGATTAAACCTATATGTTAAATTTAAAGAACAAAATAAATGAACACAGAAAACAGAAATAAACTCATAGATACAGAGAGCATTTTGAGTGTTGCCAGGTGGAAGGGGGTTTTAGGGTGGTGAGTGAAAAAGAGGAATGGATTAAGATGCACAAATAGGCAGTTGCAATGTAGTCATGGGGTCTAAAGTATAGCACAGGGAATATAGTCAACATTGTAATAACCATATATGGTGTCAGATGTTTACTAGATTTATTGGGGTGATCATTTCATAAGGCATATAAATGTCTAACCACGATGTTGTATATCTGAAACTAATGTAATATTGTATGTCAACTGTAACTGAAAAATTAAAAAAAAATTTTTTTAAGTAATAAGACTCCACACTTAAAAAAATTCAATTCATAAAAAGTATTTTTTCTGACCATGATGAGATTTAATTAGAAATTAACAACAGAAATATCTCTAAAAAAAATTACCAAAAAATTTAAAACTAAATGACATAATTCTAAACAACCCATTAATCAACTAAGAAATCCAAAGAAATTAGAATGTATTTTGTAGTGAAAGTGAGGCAGGATAGCT